TGTACATGTAAATCAAATATACTGTACAATCTAACAGTTATTAAGGTGCAACTCGTACAACATTGTGGTGCACGCTGTCGGTCTGTATTGTGTAGATTGAACCAACGAAACTTTTGTCCCAGATCAAACTGAAAATTGACATAATTTACTGATTTTTCAGTTAGGATAACCGAACTATACTTAAAAAAATAAAAAATAATATGTTATTTATATTAAAATTATATTTAATAATTAATATTATTTTTGGTTGAAAAATAGTTGAGTTCAGTCGAGTTTGGTCTCTATTTGTAATCTGTTAGTCGTGATAAAGTGCAGCTTGTTGTGTTGTAAAGTGCAATGTGTTGTTTTATAAAGTGCAACGTGATATTATATAATGTGAACTACAGTAATTTTTGTACATTAGCATGCTTGTGTTTTGTGTAGATAAATTATGTGATTGATGTTAAAGTATTATGTATGTTCGTCTTTTAGATTTATGTTGTGTGGTATTTTTGGCGGTATTTGTTGACGTTAATCGTGCAGTGTAGCGATAAAGTGCAACGTGTTGTTTTACAGTGTGCAACGTGTTGTTTTATAAAGTGCATCGTGCTCATATATAAAATGCACGACTTTATATGATAAACATATAAATTATGTGTTTTTGAAAATTATATTTTAATAGATATAATTGTACATCAAATTAACCTAAATAATTGTACAAAAGTATATTTATTATTATCATTTTGCGCAGTGTATCGATAGAGTGCAACGTGTTGTTTTATAGTGTGCAATGTGTTGTTTTATAAAGTGCATCGTGCCGATATATAAAATACACTACTTTATATGATCACAGATAAATTATGTGTTTGTTAAAATTATATTAAACGTACATCAAATTAACCTAAATAATTGAAATAAATTGTTATTTATATTACAATAGTATAATTATTATTATTATTATTATTATTATTATTATCATTTTGTGCAAATTCAACCTAAAATTGAATCAAAATAATTGAGTTATTTTGTTGGTTAATCAAAATAACCTAAACAATCAAACTAATTTATTATTTATATTATAAAAAATATATTAATTATTATTTCTAAGTATAGTTTTATTTCTAAGAATAGTTAGACAAAATATCAAGTTCATTCCAAGTGGTTATTTAAATCATGTAATGATTTCTCTTATGTATGTTAGATTAAAAATATTTTATCATGTTCTGTACAACCAAATGAAGTTTCAAAGAGCAATAATAGCTGTCCAAGCGATTGAATATACATATAAAAGTAGATATATAAAAATAATATTTTATATATTTCTACAAATTACATATTTGGCCCATAAGTTAAATTGAAATATATTTAAATTTCTTAAATTGCATTGGAGTCCTTTGAGCTTATCTAATTCTCAATTTAATGCCCCCAAAATTCATAAAATTAATTTTATATCTGAATAAGCAGAATCCGTCATTTCAACTCCATTGTTCATATGTTGGGATTCGAGCACTTCCCGCGGCGTCTGATGGCGGGTCTCGACGGCGGTGGCCGGTGGTTATTTTCTGCGAAATGCAGCGGATCTCGGTGGCTGACTGCTCATGGAGGTTGGAATGCGCTTGGAAGTCGACGGTTGTCCTGTTCGCCGGTATCAGATGGTGCGCGGTGGCGCCTGTAGCTGGAGGCGGCAGACGGCGTGGCTACGGTTGTGCGTCGCTATGTGTGTGTACGTTCGGCAGGCTCTGTGATGGACGGTGGCTCGAGGCGGCAGACGGCGTGGTGACCAGCGTGGAGTGAATTCTTACGTGTGTGTTTTGTGACTGTCAATGTGTGAACTGTGTGTGAGAGAAAGTGTGTAGGGGAGGGGGATGGTTGAGGGTGAGTAACGTGTGATGGTGAGTTACAGACTTACGGGGTAGGCTTGAGGGCAAGTTATTGTTGGCAGGTTTGTTAATGGTTTATGGGGTCCACTTCTATTGATATGGTTGAAAATTACCACATTATCCTTAATGAGGTATAATTTTGGCATTTTTTATAGCCATTAGATCATTCGATCTAATGTCTATGATTTATTCTCATTTCTTTCATTGAGAACCATTCTCATGTGAACCCAACCCTATATATATATATAGATACATTAATAGCACAATAAATATGTGTAGCTTAATAAATTAACGTACGTGATTTGAGTGTGTTGGGACTCAATCTCCTTGTGAGCCTTCTCCCACACTATGTCAAGCGACCCGGTGGACGTGTTAAGCCACTGCTTCAACACATTGTGAGAACTCTCCACCCTACACGACGTGGTGTTACCCAAAATGCAGGAAGTGATTCGTCCACGCTTTGACAAATTTTTTCTTGTGGACTAACCACATATCCTCTACATACTGTGTAACAAGAGGGCACGCCTTGTACCGAAGCGGCATGTCCTTCACGGCAGAGTTGTACTCGACCACCGTGCTCAATTCCAGGATCTTCTTCCACCGGCCGCGGGTGAACTTCTCGACGAATTCACTATTTTTGTTGGTGATTTTATAGACCCTCTGTTCCAAATCCTTGTTGATGTGCCACGTTCAAAGAAGGTGGGCAGAAGTCAGAAAATTAATCATAATAGGATTAATCAACCCCATCTCCCTGTCAGTTACAATGACTGAAGGATGTACATCAGGCCCAATCAGATCTCTCAACCGCTTCAAAACCCAGTCATAGCTGTTCTGGCTCTCGTCCTTCACAATTGCATATGCAATCAAGAAGTTCTTGTTGCACGGCGTCATCCCTATTATTTCCACAAACGGCATCTTGTACCTGTGCAAATGAGGGCAACAAAATTAAACAAAGAATAAAAAAGCGTACTTACTCAGACATAATAATTAAGATTCGTACTAGATTGATATTTATAAAGTAACGTACCTGTTTGTTTCGTACGTCGAATCTATACCGACGTACCAATAATAGGTCTGAAAGAGAAGGGCTGACTGGGGATGCGACATGAACACACGTGTCAAGGTGTGCGTGTCCTTATCAGAATCGGTAAAAACTATGTAATTAGCCCGGCTAGCCAGATGCATAAGCTGGGAAGTCACATCTCTGCCCTCGAAACTCTTTGATCGGAGTTAAGCCCTATAGTTGTAAACCTGTTGACGAATCGCGTTGTCAGACGGGTATTTCTCCTGTATCGCTGCCAATATTACCACCGGTCTTGCCTGGGCAGCTGTCATGTCACGGACGATCTGTCTCGCCTTTTCACTCAATCCGCTGAACTGTCGATGACCCTCGAGATACAAAACCATCGGATGATTATGGT